GTAGTGGTAGTGGTAGTGGTAGTGGTAGTGGTAGTAGCTAGTAGTAGTAGTAGTAGTAGTAGTAGTAGCAGTAGTAGTAGTAGTAGTAGTAGTAGTAGTAGTAGTAGTAATAGTAGTAGTTGCAGTAGTACCTACTCACTAGTACTTGCAGCAGTAGTCGCCCAGTAGTTATCATCAGTATGTTTCTCATGGCGACTGTGACGCTGATGGTGGTGACCATGATTGGAACGGCATTCTCCCGAACATAGCCTAAGGACCCTTCAGACGAGCCTGAAAGCCCACCTAAAACCCCAAGCCCCAAAATCAAGCTGTAACATCCTTGAAACACAAATCTGAGCTACGCACCCCAAATGCTAAACCTTTAAACCACCGGCCTCCAGATCTTCGGCCGAAAATCCGCCGTCTGCAAGCACCGAAGCATTGAACAGCGAGAGGCGGTCGGGGAGCAGGGACTTCCTGGGTTTGGGACTTGGGGTTTCAAATTTGTTTAAACCCTTAAAAAAAACCTATGTGGGCCTTCAGGCGCCACAACTTCGGGAAACAAATCAACGAGTTAAGTCAAGTAAACGAAGACGAAAGACAACAAAAACAACAAGCCTAGAAGACTTGCAGGGCCTTCGAGGCTTGGCTTCGCACTGTGGGCTTCTCAAGCTGTAAATGCTGAAGCTGCAAAAATGTGGCAGAACAGCGAAACATAGGCCTCAATTTTTAGAGGACAGGCTACAGAAGAGAAAAGACCAGCAAGTTTGTGCGACAGAACTCGGGATGAAGCACCAGATGCTCAAGCTGGCTTAGTGCTTCTCAGCCTTTACTAATTTTTACGAAGGTAACGTTTGAGTTAGGGCAGTTAGGGTTCAGACTTTAGGGAAACGGTTCAGGCCTTTTGGTGGGTTTGGGTCTCGGTTGCTGTTGCAGTTGTTGCTGCTGATGGTGGCGATGCCGTAGTGGTGGTCGTGATGGTGTTGGTGATGTCGCTGCTGTTGCTGTCGTTGTCGTTGTTGCTGCTGGTACTGTTACCAGCTACTGATGTTGTTATTATTGTTGTTGTGGTTGCTGTTGCTGTTGTTGTTTGTGTGTTGTTGTTGCTTTCGTTGCTGCTGTTGTTGCCGAAAGATATGCACCTTTCGCCCGGGTGGGGTTTGGGAGGGTCGGATGTCCAGCTTCGGGAGGGAGCCAAGTTCACCGGTATTTACAGAGTGTTCGTGCATCTTCTATTCCTTTTTGCGGTTGCAGTGGAGACGAGACGGGTCCTCCAAATGAGGTAAGGTGCAGCATTTTCTGGTTCACGATGTTGTCGAAAAGGCAGACACCTGCGGTATTTACAACATGTTCTGCTTCCGCTCCAAGCTGTCTTCGTCGGGAACATAAAGGCACGAGGTCCTCAAGGGGGTTTGCGCCCGTTGTTCGCATTCGAAGCTGTCGGTACAGAAACGTGAGTTAAGCGTTTTGTTTTGCACGTCGGTTTTCTTGCGGACGTCTAATACAGGGGTCGTTTCGGTGACGTTTTTTTTGCCCTGGGTGCAAAGCATCCATGGCCAAAGCCTAATGACGTCCATGGTCTATTGCGATTTGGGATGGCTGATGCTTTTGTTGTGTTTGTATTTTTTTTCTCGGTATTGTCGGGGTTTTCTGGCTTGGGGTGGGGGGGGAGCTTGATTCCGTTCGTCCCCTGCCGTTCGTGTTGCATTGCTGTGCCTCTCACTTACCATGCCCCTGCATGCAAAGTATGACCACACGCATGTGCCTGAAAACTTGTTTATTTTAAAGCCTCTTCGTTGCAAAGCCACAGTGCCAGTCACATGCATTCCGTAAATTGCAAGACCTTTCGGGCGGCGAGTGGCATACGTGCCTCCTTGTTGTTGTTGTTGTTGCTGTTGCTGTTGGTGTTAATGTTGTAGTTGTAGGTCTTACTGTTGCAGATGCTGTTGTTGTTGTTGTCGTCGTCGTTGTTGTTGTTGACGTTGTCGCTGTCGTTGTCGTTGTCGTTGTCGTTGCTGTTGTTGTTGTGGTGCAGGTGCTGGTGCTGGTGCAGGTGCTGGTGGCGGTGGTGGTGTCGTGGTTGTTGTGGTGATGGTTGTTGTTGCTGCTGCCGCTACTGCTGGTGTTGTTGCTGTTGGTGGCGGCGGCGAAGGGGTTGTTGTTGTTGGTGGTGGTGGTGGTGGTGGTGGTGGTGGTGGTGGGGGGGGTAGCGGTGGCGGTGGTAACGGTGGTGGCGGTGGCGGCGGCGGCGGCTTGGTGTTTGCGGTTGCGGTTTAAATTGCGACTGGTGGTGATTATGGCTGTGGTTGTGGTTGTGCGCCGTCGTTGCTGTTGTTGTTGCTGTTATTGCTGCTGCTGTTTGTCGGTTCCTTAATGGGTGTTTCTAGTAACGACTGTGGTCTCTGACCTCTTCTTTCTCAGAAGACCAGATTCAAAATCTACCGTTCCAGCGCGTCAAGCCAAGCTTCCTGGTAGCAATTGGTGAATGAATGGCTGCAAGGCCACCGCCGCAGCAGGAAACAGCACGGACCGGCCCTTGGCTAAACTGGGACACGTCTGAGTAGACCCGCGTTGCGTCCGTGGATTGCAACTCCAAGAAGGAAGAAAACCGACAGTGCGCAATGTCAGCTGCACCTGGGCTCTTATGACCCGAGAGCTGACGTCGACTTACCCTTATAAGGACCCATAGTAATGAAATCCCTAGGTGTTGCTCCAGGCATGGTATTCAGAGTATGTATCGTATACAGCATATATCTTGTTCTTCCCTAATATCGTCAGTATAGAAACACGAACAAAGTGCCTGAACAAGAACCCCGGGGCGAAGCAATCGGACCGACTTTGGCGTAGATCCGGCCAGAACAAGGTCCCCCTGGGCACTGCTACCGAGCAAACTCCCCGAAACGTTCGCCAGAAGGATGCAGAACGGCGTGATCACATTGCCTGTCAGGCTTAGCGGATTAGGAACTTTCAACCCTAAAGCCTAAAGCTTAAGGTTCCATAGTGGCCAAGGGTAGTTGGATGGAAGTCGCGCCATGCACTAAAACAGAAGCCTAAATCCACGTTAAAAAAACCGTGAACTCCATGATCAGCTTGTAGGCTGCACAGGATTCGCTTTACAGTAGCAACTAATCCCAACTGTGTGGCCCGGTGGCCTTGCACATTCTCTTTCCGGCCGATGGCATCTGCCGACAAGTCGTAAAAGAGGCAATGGCCTCGGAAATTGAACAGACACATGAAACAAGAGAGCACGGGGTAGAAGGATGAGGATGATGATGCAACACCATCTGGAAAACAAAAGTCGAGGTTCTGGGATGATCATCCCTGAGGCCTGGTCCGTTGCCAATATCGGGCACTACCAGAATGTCGTTAGACAAAGCCACGATTGAGGTGCCAGTCGAAACAGCCGCAGAAGTGAGGTTGCCCAACACAGCTGCCTGCCAATCCCCATGAGGGGTGGAGTTTGTCACGAAGTACAGGGCCGAGTACTCCGGGTGTGATCGGTTGGGAGCCACGGCAACAGCGCCGTTTCCGACGCCCACGACAACACGCACGTAGCCGCCCAGCGTGCCCAGAATGTTCTGCCATTCTTCCGGAGAGCCCTTGCTGACCGAAGAATAGTTGAAGAAATAGTAGGTGTCGCCTGGGTTCTTGCTGCGGGATTTATAGCTACCATAATACGGACAGTGCAGTTTTGCATGTTTGTTACCAAACGGGTGTCTTCAGGTTCCCTAACAAGCACCGAGTCACTGTACACCATCAATCCCTGGTGGCCCCAAGAGAAAATCTCCGTCAGGAGCTCAGAGCCATCGTTAACCTGAGCCATCGATTACAGCATCCTATCATCCGATCTGAGCGCTTCTCTAAGTGAAACCTCGAACCCTGGAGCTTATTATTCAAAAAGAGCCACCCTGAGTGGGTCTCCCAACGGGTAGGGAGGTGCGGACAGGTGGAGCTGTAAAAGCCAAATTGACCATATGGAGGCAACCACAAGAATGTTCCTGGGCGGCTTGAACAAGCTTTGGGCTATGGGGCCTTCTGCGTCTTGAAAATCGGCATTCTTCGTCCTTGACCTGGGGGTGGGGAGCTGGCGGTTGCATACTCGACAAAAGTGCGGCTAAATTCTTGCACAAGCTCCCTGGCAACGAAAGGAGAGCGGTCGGCAGCTCATTTGAGAGCGGCAGAGGCCAGGAGATCATCTCGCCCAGAAGACCACGTATGACAGGAAAGATGTTGATTTTGGTTGCTGAAAGCACAACCAAACTATCAAATCCACCGTCTGCAATGTCTGCAAAGCCTGGGTTCTGTTTATAGGACTTGATGCAGTCACGAGAATAAGGGCTTTTTGTCTCACCGAAAGTCCCTGTTCCAGTACCTGCAAACAAGCTCTTTAACACCAATCAAGACCCTATCAAACCTTCAAGTAAAGACCCGGATCATGATAGTTTGGAAAAGCCTGCCTCATTCAGCTCCCATGACAACAACAGCATACTCCGTGCGACATGATATATAACCTGCCAATGCTACCTGATAACCTACGTGAATTAACATGAGGTAACACCTCTAACACCCTGACCAGTCCTTGACAACCTGAAATGCTTTTAGTCAGGGTTTTTCAAAATTGTTGATGAACAAGAGCGAAGAAGCCCGTCACTAGCGGCGCTCCTTCGCAAGCATCACGAAGAAGTAATTTTGAGGTCTGTGCCTGGGCTCTTGTTTGCGCACTTGTGTGGGCTTTATCGGGTCAGTTGATGGTTTTGAAACAAAATTTGTACGGGCCTTTCACAGGCGTTAACCAACTAAATTACCGCGGTTGAAGCTTATGGAGGTTTTCATGGCTTCTATGAAGGTTTTCGGCAAGGTGAAGCTTGAAATGTTCAGTTCACATGACGTTACATGACCATAACCGGGATTTCTGGAAGTATTGTACTTTACTACTATGGCAGTTTGCACTCGAGCCTGCTTCCTGAATTTTAGCCCAGGTGCAGTGGGCTGAGCTCCTTCGACAAGGGCAGCTGCTTTGAACACCGAGATGTTCAGGTGACAAGCACCGAAGGAGCTGGACTTCGTAGCGACGGCCAAACCACCACCAGACAGCGTGGTTAGCTCGGCGAAAGAATCCGTGGCATGGTCCATCGAGATGTTTCCAAGAAGAACACTAGAAATGCCATCTCCTCACGGACCCGAAGACAAAAGCTGTTGCACACTAGGCCATTAGCATGTGATTGGTCGTTTTTTGCAGCCGCTTCATGGGCCTGAATATGCTTAAATCCTGAACGGTAAGGCCTAGCCAAAATGCACCCCTGGATCCTCCTTTCGACGTCCGTAAGATCACAAAGCGACATTCTGTGCTTGGAGTCCAAGCGCCTGAACTGCTCTTCCACGGTCCTGTAAAATAGTATAGATGTTTTAAGGTTTCTAGACAGATAAAATGCCGAATTACAGAATTACCGTGATCCTTGCACTTCACCTTTGCCGTATCTTCTTACGAACATAGTTTACCTAAGTTCTCTTTCTAGATTCTAGAGCCCTTCAGAGATCCGATTTGGGGGTTTCCGAAAAATAGGGGACCCTAATATGGTACCCTAAATAATAGGATCCTTATTATAAAGGCCCCACCCCTAATTTTCGGAAACTCCCATTTAAGAATCCCTAAACCTGTACGAGGCGGTTCAGGCGCAAGCTTGCAGTGCAAGGCCGCCTCGGACTGGCGCGCTGCGGCCGATCCTTGGGGGCTTTCGGGGTGCTGCCCATGGCAAACCGGGGTTTAGAGGGGGTTCAGGGCGGTTTAGGGGGGGTTTAGGGGGCGTTTAGGGGGGTTTAGGGTTTAGGGTTTCTGGGGGGTTTACGGTGTAGCGCATCTTCCTGCAGGGTTGCTGACAACCTATACATGTTTTGATGACGCCGCGTCGCACCGGGGTGTGTGGGTTTGTGTCAAACGAATTTCCTTCTGTATTGTGAGAGAACCCGATGGTGCCAGAAATTATTTTACCCACCCGTTCTGATGATACCACAGGCTATCACCAAACTTTTCCCTGCAAGAATTTAAGCCCCATCTGCGTTAGTTGGTTTGCTGCTGGGAGACTAATAAAACACCCCCTTATTTGGCGATACCGGTTCATCACATCTCTTACTAAAACTTAAACACGCCCCCTCATGTGGCAATTGCGGTTCATCGTCTATCTTAAACGGCCCCTCATTTGATGATACCAATTCAGCGTATATCTTAATCGCACCTGCGCATTTGGCAACTCCGACCCATCATACATCTTAATGTCTTAATCACGCCCATCCTCATTTGGCGATTCCGGTTGATCATCTATCTTAAAGACATGCCGTCAACGATCATTTAGAGTATGAAACGGGAAACTCGAACAGCAATTGCTCAGTATCAAGAAGTGTTTCCTAACAGGTCTCGCCAAGCAAAAAGCACAAGGGACAAACAAGAAAAGCAACACGAAAAAATGCAAAATTGAAGGCTAACAACAACCACAATCAGAGCAAAACAACAAAAACACCTTAACAACACAGTCAAAGCGGAAAACAAAAAGCACAAACAAACACACGCATTTAAAACAAATCCAAAACCACACACACACACACACACNNACACACACACACAAAAAAAAAAAAAATCAACTCATATCCATTGATTGGAAGGGCCTTAATTCGGAGAGCTCTGATTCTAAATCCTAAACAGACCCCGAAGCAAAACCCAAAGCCTTACAGAAAACTCTCTTAAAGAACTGAACCAGAACAGGTCTGTTTGCAAGACCCCTTACGCACCCATGGAAGCGCGCAGGGCTTGAGGATTAAGGTCTAGGTCTCAGGGCTTGGGAGTTTAGGGTTTCAATCGGGCACTCGCATTTAAGGGTTGAGGGTTCAGGGTTTAGGGAGAGAGTCGTCCAATTTTTCGTCCAGGCTGTCCAGGATGAGGTTGGCGTGCATCCGCGCTGGACGGCCTCCCAGCTCCATAGGACGACCTGAGGGGGCTGTTGTAGGGTTTAGTTTAGGGTGGAGGGTTACTTTCAAGATGGCTTCCTTTTTACCAGGGTTCCTACGAGGCATGAAGTTGAAATACCATAGCAAGGATTCTTGCAGGGATCGTATGTAAGGTGTACCAAAAATTGCTTGCTGTGCTATGCTGCTCAAAGGCTTAGTCTGCCGGGTCCAAGCATCTACAGTATCAAGTGCCGTGTTGGGTTCTGCCACTGTGTTATGCAACATCAACGTAACATCACCACAGTAATTTTACGTTGCTCGGGGGGGACTATACTATATCTATAAAAAGGACCCGGTCCAGTGGCTTCTTCGCCGAAGCCGGAAGGTTGCAAAGGCCCAAGGTTCTTACCATCACATTACTAATGCTGCTACGAAGAAAGCTACTATTGAACTTGCCAGCCATTGTCGTTGCTATCGCTACTGCTGACGCCCATGCCATTGCCATGACCATTATCATGGTCACATGAACATAATCATGACAATGACTGTGACCCTGCCTGTGCCTGTGACTATGGCTACGATTAATGGCTATGGCCATGGCTATGGCTATGAGTCTTATTGTGGCTGCGACGATGGCTCTTACTCCTACTGCTTACTATTAGTATTTGGGCATGACGCCCCGGGCAAGGAATACTTCAGTGCACATTGATTCTATGTGGAGGGGGCACATTCATCAGCGTTCCACATCAAGCCGTGAACCCTGAATAGGCAGGACTCACGTATAACTTACGATCACGCACAAGAAACCTACACCTCTCCACCTCCCCCGTCAGCACCAGTGCCAGGCCGTCACTTAGCTCCCAGATGTTTGGGTCCTGCTGGAGAAGTTTCGGGGTGTTTGGGGCTTTTTCCCTCCTACTTGGCAAGGAAGGGTTTTAGGGCCTAGGGTTTAGGGGAGTTACGGGGAGTTTCGGGGTTTAGGGTTTGGGGGAGCCTGGAGCTTCAAGTGTAGGAGAGTTCCGATTGAAGCATTGGCCCAAGCCCTGAGCCCCCAACTCCATGTCACGGGCTTGGTTTACATGTTAAGTTTAGGGTTTAGGGTTTCGGTTACATTACATGAGCCCGGGGAGATGTGGGCAAAGCTGAAGGTTAACATATTATGTAGGGATTCTACCCTTCCACAAGCCACCTACCCTCCTACTAAGCTGCATAACCCTGCATATCCCTACAAGTAAAAGCCACGTGGTTCGGTCCGTCTGGCAGCAGCTCAATGAAGAGTTGACTAGCAACTCCCGCGCCGAAGGCAAAGCTCGTTCCTCCAAGGGCCCTGGGGCATGATATAGGGGCCTGAATAATTAGAATAGGGTTTTGGGGCCCATTATACTATAACCATAATAAAGAAGGTAATGATTTAGGCCCCTATATTACGAGAACTTACGGGCTTTCAGGGTCCACTAAGGGTTCCCTAGATGGCGCTATAAGTGTTGCTTTGAAGGTCACATCAGGTACTGTTCCTTTACGGTATAGGAGTACTCTCAGTGGTTCAGGGCCGCAGGGCTCGAGGGCCCTCGGAGCTCGAAGAGGGGTTTTGAGATGATAGAGGGGCCTTGATAATCAGAGTGGGGTTCTGGGCCCCTTTTACGGTACAAACATAAGAAGGATCCATAAGGAATTAGGCCCTCTATCGTGCCCCAAACCCTGCACTCCAAAACACTAACTAAAGCCGACTGAACCCTAGAAATAGGCCTGGGCAGCCCCGGCATCCTAAACCCTGAAACGTCTTCTACTCTACGGGTATGGCGCTTTGAGGGTTCCACTACGATAACCTTACGCAGGCACAAAATGCCGACACCGCTCCTCACTTGTTGAAGCCTGGTACGGGTCTGGGTGCGGTGAAAGCTCCTGATACCATCAAAACACAACCATGACAAAAATGTGGTGATCTATAATAATGGAAACCGTGTATGTGAGGTCCAGCTACATCAGGAAATACTTCACGGACTGCGCAAGCGAGTTCAGACACGTAATGTTCAGGCGCACCGGATTGCGGACACCCGCGGCAAGCGCTTGTACCCAAACCCAGGGAACGCGTCTGCATGCTGCTCGGAACAATGCGATATTGCGCGCTAGCTTGTATCCAGGAGCGGCCGCCGAGGAAGAGCAACAAAACACTCAGGATGTTCAAATGGTCCGAAACAGTCTACCCTTAACCCTAAACCCAAAAGAGCCGGGCACATCCCACTCAATCTCCCGAGACCCGCTCATCTTTCCGATGTTCAAACCTCTGGATTAAACCCGGCAACGCTGAAGTAAACTCTGACTCTAGCCTGAAACAACCACTGAAGCGCGAATCAACCCTGAACCCGGAACTAAACCCTAAACCCAAACCCTGTTCCAACTATCAACGCCCCCAGCTTGAACTCAGAACGCCAGCCTCGCAGCAAGAAGACTGTGTAAGATTTCTGCTTGGAGGACCAGCCCACCACGGCCACACCACCATCCTACGGGCTTTCCCAGGTTTCGCACTTGAGTTTAGGGGTTTCGGTTTGGGGTTCAGGGTTTGGGGTTTAGGGTTTGGGGTTTAGGGTTTGCGGTTTAGGGTTTAGGGTTTGGGGTTTAGGAATTACCTGGACCCTAAGGAACCTACCTTTTAATTCAGGTTCCATAAACTGCTGTCCTTAAAACAAGCCCTTTTTTGGCACTCGCGCTCGACCAGGTCATAACAAGCCCTTAAAAAGGTAGGTTACTTGGGGTCAAGGTAGGTTTTGAAGGTTGCGGGCTGATCAGCACTTTGCAGGGCGTTGTTTGAGCTTTTGACTCTTCTTGCGGGGCCTTATTTCGAAAGGGCGGTGTAGGGGTCTTGGGGGTTTCTAAACCCTAAACCCTTTTTGCAACAGGCTTTCCACTCGCCCGGAGTTGGAGCAAGCAGCCCTAGCAGCTTTGCTGCGGAGCCAGCTTTCGCATCCGCCAGCCCTGAACCCCTAAACCCTAAACCCTAAGCCCTAAACCCCTAAACCCTAAACCCCTAAAGCCTAAACCCCAGTTTTGCACGGCCTTGTCCGGGTTTCCCAACTTCCGACTTCTGGGCTTCGAATGATGGCTTCTTGCCGAGCCCCCGCAGCCGCAGCCCCCATCGAAACCAACGAGCCGACGATCCGAAACCCTGTTTTATGGGCCTCTACTTAGCAAGGACGAGACCGAAACCCTGTTTAGGGTTTAGTAGGAGTTGGGAGTAGGGGGACCCTTGGGGATGTAGACCATCTCAATAAGGTCCCTTGTAAGAGAGCCATAAGTATGGTTAAGAAGCATCCCCTTTAAGGGGTCTCCGTAATGCTACCTAGGAATGTAATCCAAAAATCCCTAGACTCAAACCGCAAAAGCAACAACAGTTGAAACAAAACCCTGCGCCTGACTCCCTGAAGCCTTTTTTGCATCTGGTTTGCAGCGACTCAACCAGGACGGAAACAAGAGGCATGCGAAGGCACAGCTTTAAGCTCCAGCACGGGCTGTTCGACAGTATCTAACCGCCGTTGGTAAGTAGATAAGGATCTAACAGGTCAGCAGCATATTCGAGTGCTGGATTCCTCCCAAGTTATGATCTTAAATACCATATAGAAGACCGGGAAGGAAAGCTTCGAGACGGGAAGTTGTTAAGCACAGGCAATTGGCCATGCTTGAACGTGCAAAGAAGCTCGAAAGTCAAAGCAGCACCCCAGAACGCGTG